ATGTTCAGCGGCGTGGCGTCACCGATCTTGTTGAATTTCATTGTTTCTCTATCATATGCCGCCCGTCCTGCTTTCAATGGCCTGTTGCAGGAAACGCTGACGGTGCAACCTGACGAAGCCTTGACACATATTGTCAGCATCGGTGCCCCATCGTTGTTCCAATCCGTGTCTAATGGGACCAGCTACACCCTTCCAGCGAACCAAGTGTCGAATCTCATTCAGCAGGACGGATTGTGAAGGCCTGACGGCCAGTGCCGCTGACCCTGAAAGACATCGACGACGACCAGGGGGGGAGGAGGAGGAGGAGCAGGAGGATGAGGAGGAGGAGGAGGAGGAGGAGGAGGAGGAGGAGGGGGAGGGGGAGGAGGAGGAGGAGGAGGAGGAGGAGGATGAGGAGGAGGAGGAGAAGGATAAGGAGATAAGGAGGAAGAGGAGGAGGAGGAGGAGGAGAAGGAGGAAAAAGACTCCCCCCTGGGACCCCCCCCCCTTGGGGAGGAGGACGGGAGGAGGACCGGCGTGGGAGAGGGGAGGGGGACCCCCAGGGACGAGCTACACCCAGCGAGCCGAGTGTCGAATATCATTCAGCAGGACGGATTCAATAACGTGATCGCGCAGTTCCTCGCAGCCCAGCAGTCATGGGCCGCATGCAAAGCAACCATCAAGGCAAGGTGGGACGCCTACACTTCGAGCTACATCGAGCACGGCCACATGATCTGGGTGAGCAATCTCAAAGGCTATGGCGAAGACACAGTATTTTGCATGGTCGTCGAAACATACGAAGATTCTTTACTGGTTGACGTTCTGAATGATGAACATCAGCCCGTTAACGAACGGCACATGATATCATATAACCAGATCGAGTCCCATGCAGACAGTCTTTCAAACCTGATAACGCAAATCAGACACTTGCCCTGCGTAGCAGCAACCATGACGAACCTGCAGACGGCCATCAGCAGTGCAGCGCGAACAACTGGTGCATACTTGGCGTACAAATTGCTCAACTTCCAAACCAGCGGGTACGCAAAGTTGGCTTTCGGCATCGGTGCCTCGTGGCGCGGCAGCGGAGTTCTGCCGCACTCGCTTCGCGTCGAGGGTGGTCTGGGGGTGGTGCTTTGGCCGAGCAGCCTGGCGGGCACGATCACGCACGAGGTCTGCACTGGCAAGGACTCGAATCGTAAGGCAGTGGATCTCTCCATAAGTCTTGAGATTGGCTTCGACAGGTCTTGCTTCACAGGCTACGGGCTCTCCTTCGCTGGAGCGCTCCAGCTGCCCCACGGCCAAGAAGTCGTGGGCGGATTTGGCATTGACTGCGATCTCTCGAACAAGTGCATGGAGGAGTGCATTGCCAATGGTGGAGCAAGCCCAGTGTGCTACCCTAAGTTGAGTTCGTTCACTGTTGGATATTGCCAGGCGATAGCGGTACCACAAGTTTCCTCGGATTGGAAAGCATCTCTTGGTATCACCAGCAGCTGGGCGGTCGTAGGCGTCGGCTGCAAGGAGGGTGAGTTTATCGCAGTTGGACCGCGTGATTGCTAAGAACGTCCAAGTTGTTGGGATGTACTTCACATGATTGTCCAGGAAGCGGCACATGATCTTCCAGCAAGCGGCAGATGATGAGGATCTTCCAGAAAGCGCGCGCGGACATCGCACACAAAGAGGGCGACGTCGTCGTCGTCGCCCTCGTCCTCGTCGTCGTCATTACCGTTGCCTTGCCCAGCGCCGCACGGTCCGCCACCGCCCACAGAGGGCCAGGGGCGCGGGAGTGGCTGCCCGTTGTTTCCCTTCCTCCTCTTTCCCTCGTTCCCCCTCCTCCTCCTCCTCCTCCTCCTCCTCCTCCTCCTCCTCCTCCTCCTCCTCCTCGTTCCTCCTCCTCCTCCTCCTCCTCCTCCTTATTCCCCCTCCCTCCTCGTTCCCCCTCCTCCTCTTCCTCGCTTCTCCTCCTCCTCCTCATCCTCCTCGTCCTCCTCCTCGTCCTCCTCCTCCTCGTCCTTCTCGTTCCCCCATCTCGTTCCCCTCCTCTTTCCCCCTCCTCATAAATAACTTCTCCCTGCCGCACCCCAGGTCCAGTTTTTAGAGTTGTCTGGGCGTTTCGCCTGAGACTTCTTCAGCATGTATGACCTTGAAGCTTAAACGTTGACAACAGTTTCAGGGATTGAGGGCGGATGGTTTTCAAGATGTGGCTCTCGCGCTGGCGCCGCGCACATACGTTTAAAGAATTGCACGAGTTTCTCGGATTGAGGACGACCCGTTTTCAAAATGTGGTTCTCGCGTTAGCGCCGCGCGCATTCGTTTTAAACAATTGCATGAGCTTCACGGATTGAGGGCGATTCTGTTTCAACATGTGATTCTCGTCTTAGCGTCGCGCACATGTTTTGAATGCACGGGTTTCACGGGCTCCCGCGATCAGCGTACCAGAAATGGGGCTTTAGAAGGATTCCGGATTATGAGGGCGCAACGGTTACGTTGATTCGCGGTGTTGAAGTCCCAGGAATGGCGTTCTGGCACGGTTCACGATCGTCAAGACGCAAGTGTCAGGTTGATCCGTGGCGATGAATCCCGAGAACCAATTTGGGGCATGCATCAGGGTCTTCAAACGGTTGTCTCCCAACGGGGCAGTTCCCTCAGTGGAAGTGAATCCTTGTAGGTGCCTATGAAGAGGGAGCTTGAAGGGAGGGCTTATTCCAACATCGTTGATGACTCTTGGGTTTACACTGGTCCTCCTCCTCCTCCTCCTCCTCCTCCTCCTCCTCCTCCTCCTCCTCCTTCTCTTCCTTCTCTTCCTCCTCCTCCTCGCTGCTTTTGAAGCGCGCCCGCCCTGTCTCCCCGCGTGGCTGGGCTCGTAGGGGGAGCCTGGGGCGCAGGAGCTGACGTGCCGCAGACCAGAGTTAGACGCTGGTGCAGTGGGGGCGCGCATCAAGAAGCCATCTGTTCTTGTCGGTAGCAACTCATGGGAGCCTGGTATACCCTCTTACTTCCGTCTTTAGAGTCGGTTAGCGTCGATTAGCGTCTAGGATACCATGCGATAGCGCCGATTTAGCGTCGGTTAGCGTCGATTAGCGCCTATTTGGCGTCGACGAGCGTCGACTCTCAAGAGCCAACTAGATGAAATGGGAGGTTCCCATGAGTTGCCACAGAAGTGGGGGCCCGCATCAAGAAACCATATGCTTTTCGCCAGGGTACCCGTGGTTTCGTCGCGCCGCGCGCTGCGTGGTGACTTCCCGCAGCCGTCAAAGCAGCTGCTGCGTTCAGGGTGCTCCAGGTTTCCCTTCAGGTGCACCTCGCGCGCGGCTTTTCAGGGTGGGTTTTCTTGCGAGGGTTTCTTGCGACCGCGCCCGCACTGCAGAGAGCGCAGCGGTACAATTGCAAGCCAGTTTTTGAAGAGTCTCACGTTCTGCCCAAGGGTTGGTTGGATGCTTTTTGAGAACTGCGACAGGAGCCGGGGTGAAAAAGTGGGAGGAGGAGGAGGAGGAGGAGGAGGAGGAGGAGCGAGGAGGAGGAGGAGGAGGAGGAGGAGGAGGAGGAGGAGGAGGAGGAGGGGGAGGAGGAGGAGGAGGGGGAGGAGGAGCGAGGAGGAGGAGGAGGAGGAGGAGGACGTTCTCCCCGGTCTCGGGCCGCGCTGGCACGGACAGAGCGGCCGGACGCCTGCCTCGGCTTCGCTCGTCGTCAGCCTCTGCAGTGGCAGGGCGCGGGCCAAGGGGTCGCGCTCGATTTCTCGACCGCCCTTGCTGTCCTGGGACTTGGCATCGCTCGGACGTGTGCATTTTTTTCCCCGGCGAGAACCATCGAGGACCATCCTGGACCATCGAGCAAAAAAAACACGCACGAAACGGAAAAATGCACAGGACATGGACGTCCGAGCGACGGCAAGCGGAACTCGGGGCCTCCCCTTGCGCGACTTCTGAGGCTGCCGGCTGCCTCCGCCCCCGCAGCGGTCGTCACCCTCGGGCAGGGGCCTCTCGCCGCAGCGGGGAGTTCGTGTGAGACCCTTCCCGCTCCAACACCGGTAGTCATGCTCGGACGCCCAGAGTTTAGCCGGGCACGTCCCTCTACAGGAGGAATCTTCAAAAGAGTCAGCGGACGATGTTTCGGTGATGTTTGATCATTTTGGGGCATTTTCGGGCAATTTTTTCATTTTTCGTCCGAAGTCTGCCTGTAGGAGGACACGCCCGACCTAGGCCTAGCGGTGGGCACCAACACCAGTATCAAGTTTTGCCTCCACCGATTGAAGATGATACGGATCTCGGTGGCGTGGTGGTAAGATTCGGGTTTCGTGGGTGACCGAGAGGTTACCAGCAGCACCAAAATCCAGAATCGTCTTCCCCCAGTGGAGGCAAGCACCTGTACTGGTGTTTGTGCAAACTTACAGGCCCAAACGCTTGGGGGCTCGTGGGCGCTGGGCTCGACGACCAGAAACCGGCGTGAACGCAGTCTCTGAGAGGGGATCCCCTGGCCCTGACTTCGGACCCGCCGTAGTTCGGGCAATTTCGCAAGTGGGGCGAAAACATCTGCCCTGATTTTCAAGGTCCTCTGATGTCGATGTCCGTTCTGCTTTGCTGTTGCTGTTTCCGCCATGCGATTGCGGACATACCCACCCTATGTTTCCGAGGCGGCCATTTCCGCTTTGGGGGGTCCAGCGCAGATTTAACAACAAAAACACGCGTGGAGCTCCGACAGTTTATGTTTATGCCTTCTTCTGCCCCTCGAGAAGATATTTGAATCAGCCACCTGCCAGGGCCCGTTTCGATTCGATCGGTCCAGATCGACCCCGATCAAATCGAATTTGAAATCCTGCTGATCCGGCTCGTCTTGCCGATCCGACTCCTTGCGACCCGGCTGGCAGGGGACCGATCCGCTGCCGATTCGGCCTCCGGCTTCCGTTCTCCGAGCCGGATGCGGCCATGGGCCCCGAGTCCACGAGCTCCGACGAGACTCCGACGTCGACCCGGCTCCCCGATCCGAGAGTGGCCCGTGACCCGTTGGCTGCCTGCTGCTCGGACGGTGGCCCGCCGGTGGGGCCTCCGAGCTGGCGGCGCCGCGGGCACCTCTGGGGGAGCCCACGCCTGCCCACGCCGCTGCTCCCCGGACGTCTGCCCGGGGCGCGCTGTGTCCCAGACCTCGGGGCGCATGCGGCAGTGGCGACGAGGGCCTCCCAGGAGGCCCAAGTGAATGGGGGGCCACATGCGCACCCTGCCCCTACCCCCCACGATTTCTGAGGGGTAGGGTGGGGTTCGCTTCGCTCGGGAGCTCCCGAATGGGGTGAACGCCCCCCTCCGCCTCAGAAGTCGTGGGGGGTAGGGGCAGGGTTCGCATGTGGCCCCCCAAAGAAGGCGAACACGATCGGGCGCGGCTCGGACGAGGGCAACTCCGTTTCGCAGCGCTCCGGGACGCCCGCCGAGCGTCCCCGAACGCTCGGGAGAAGGCCGCGACGCCCGATGCATCCCCCAGAGCATTCGGACCTCCGAGATTCTCGATTCGTTTCCATCCGAATGTCAGGAGGGAAAGAAGCACACAGACACAATGAATCGTCAATCCCAAGGAAAACATGGGGAAAATATGGGAAGTGGGGGGAAGACGAAAACCCAAAAAGTATGCGGAATATGTTTATTTGTGTGTATTTATTTGTGTGTGTCCTGGGGCCCCTTCAGAATGGATCCTCGCCCCGGCTCCGCCCTACACGAGGGGAGTTGCCATCGGCCACCTTCCCCTCCTCGGAGCGGGCGGCGCCTCGGGCGCCTCGCCGGGTGAGGGGAGCCCCGGTGCCAGGGCTCGAGCCAGGATGCTCTTTCTAGGGGGCCACATGCGAACCCTACCCCTGCCCCCCACGATCTCTGCGCGAAGGGAACCCCGCCCTCCCCCTCAGAAATCGTGGGGGGTAGGGGCAGGGTTCGCATGTGGCCCCCTACTTTTGCGGTTTCGTGGCCCGTCTTCGTTCTGAGTTCGTTGCGCAGCATACAGTCGGCCCAGGTTAGCAGGTCGACCCTGCCAAATCAAGGGTGCCCTTTGTGTCTTGTGCCTCGCGACCCATGCTTCCTTCATTCCTGTGGCAATGTGACCCTCGGAGGGGTCTTGTGTCCTCCGGCGTGTCCTCTCCAATCAAGTCCGACTGTAGGGCAGAACCAAGATACAGTCGGGGCGCTGAAGAAGGAACCCTTCTCGTTGGGGAGGGGCTCGGTGTACCTTGATTGTTTTACAGTTTGCGTTGGGTTTTCCATGGGAAATCGAGGTTGAACTTATGGGAAAAATGGGCCTCGTTCCTTATTTAGGGTTCCTTACGTCAACGCCCCGACTGTAGAGCGAAGGAAAACGAAAGCAAAGCAGACAATGGAACAAAAACTGTTTCGCTGGGGCCCTGCCGCGCTTGCCCGCACGCCCTCGCGGGGAGGGCGGACTCCGGGGAGGCCCCGGAGGCGTGAGGGCATGCGGCATGCACGAGGTGGGCGTGCAGGCAGGGGTAGTTGCAGGGGCCCGCGCAGAGCGGCGGGAGGAGGAGGAATCTCAGAAGAGGCATGTCAGAGGAGGGAGGAGGAGGAGGAGGAGGAGTGTCAGGAGGAGGAGGAGGAGGAGGAGGACGAGGAGGAGGAGCAGGAGGGCATGACTATGATGGAGGAGAGTAGGAGGTGGAGGAGGAGGTGGGACGTCACAAGAGGAGGATGAGGAGGAGGAGGAGGAGATGAGGAGGAGGAGGAGGAGGACAATATTTGTGCTGGTGTGAAACAGCTTGTGCCAGTGCAGGGCAATGTGTGTGACAGTGCTGCAGGGGAGCAGTCTAAGCCGCGGGCGCGTCGTCGGCCGGCAGCTGCCCCCCCTAGATCTACCAGGGGCGTTGCCGATGCCGGCGCGGCTCCACTGCACCCAGCCCCAGATGTTGGGAGAGAGCAGGATGAGGAGGAGGAGCAGGAGGAGGAGGAGGAGCAGGAGGAGGAGGAGGAAGAGGAGGAGGAGGAGGAGGATGAGGAGGAGGAGCAGGAATAGGAGGAGGAGGACAAGGAGGAGGAGGAAGAGGGCGGGAGGGAGGGAGGGAGGGAGTAGGAGGAGGGATAGAGGAACTCTGGCAACGGTGGCTTGCCTGCTGCCTTGTTGGCTCCTGTGTGAGCTCAGAACTAGTATCAGCCAACTCTTGGCGAGGGGACTTACTACCAGTGCTTCAGCTGGGCCCCTGAAGTTCCCCAGCCTACCCCTAGACGCAAACCTGCAGGCTTGGGCTTTCTTGTATGTCACGCGCCATGGCAGGACAGACTAGGACAGGGCAGCATCCTGCGAGGCAACCCTTGGCTGCCAGCCTGCAGGCTGATGAGGGGGCAAGGGAGAGGTGACGCCAGGCCGATCCCAAGACCATTGCATGGAAACTAGTACCTCTAGTACGTGCCCAGCCTGCTTTTCCTGTCTGTGCAGGGATGGCCTACGAAAATGACCTTGGCCGATTTGAGTCCTCCTTCAGCCAGCCACCATTTCTGCAAACTTCAGCCCCCCTGTGACTGCTGCGTTTGCCTGGTGCCTAACACAACCGGGGGTGACGAGGAGTTCGCAGAAGGGAAAATGAAGAGGACAACAGAGTTGAACAATGTGAAAACTTATGTTGGTCTCTACACACGCTGTGGTGGACAAGCCACTCTACAGGAAACTATGTCTTAGACATTGTGATTTCTACGTGCATTCGACCGTGGCCCGTTTTTGGAAATGGAACTACCTTGAATCCTTCTGGCGCGTAACCAGGAATTCCACAACTACGATCATACAATGCAGCGAAGTGTCCAGAGCAATCCCCCTTTTTGAAGAGACAGCCCCCACAGGATGCGTAAGTGCTGCGTCCGTTGAATGATGTAGTTATGAACTTCGAGAGGGTCTGAAGCGAAGGCTCCATTCTGAAAAGGATCCTCCCTCGATCGGGTCATTGATACGTGCGTTGAAATTTCGGGTCTTTCGGGGCAAATGTGCGCGGCGCTAGGGCGGGATTTCCATTTTGAACAGAAGCCGTTCTCCACCCTTCAAACTGTGGCAAGCTTGTTCAGGAGAATGCGCGCGGCGCTAAGATGAGAGCCCCACCTTGAACACCGCCCGCCCTCCATCCGTGAAGCTGTTGCAGACTTTTGAGGCGAAGGTACGCGGCCTTGGGGCGAGAGCCTCGTTTTGAATATGACCCAGCCCCCGAGAAGGCAGAAGCCTTGAAGTTGAGGCGAATTTCAAGTATCTGGGTTCAGGATCATAGACGGTGTGGAAGTCTCAGGCGAAACGCCTGGCCCGCCCGGCCGACACGCCTGGGGGTACAACAGGGAAGAGGCGGAGGCGGAGGCGGAGGAGGAGGCGGAGGAGGAGGCGGAGGCGGAGTAGGACGAGGAGGAGCTGGAGGAGGAGGAGGAGGGGGGTGAGAGGGAGGAAGGAGGAGGGTGAATGATGATGCTGATGATGATATGATGATGATGATGATGATGATGATGATGATGATGATGATGATGATGATGATGATGATGATGATGATGATGATGATGATGATGATGATGATGATGATGGTGGTGGTGGTGGTGGTGGTGGTAATGATAATGATAATGATACTGATAAGGATAATGATACTGATAAGGATGATGATGATGATGATGATGATGATGATGATGATGATGATGATGATGATGATGATGATGATGGCGCTGATGGTGCTGATGATGCTGATGATGATGGTGATGATGGTGATGATGATGATGATGCTGATGATGATGATGATGATGATGATAATGACCAGGAGCAGGAGGAACGATGAAGGGGAGGGAGAAGGAGGAGGAGGAGGAGAAGCAATAAGAGGGGGAGGAAGGAGGGGGAAGGTGGAAGAGGAGGAGGAGGAGGGCGAGGAGGAGGAGGAGGAGGAGGAGGAGGAGGAGGAGGAGAGAGGAGGGAGGAAGGAGGAAACGGACAAGGGGCAAGGGGAAAGGGGAAAGGAGAAAGGGGAAGGGGATGATGATTTTGATGATGAGTATGATGATGATGACGATGATGGTGATGACTATGATGATGATGATGATTATGATGATGATGATGATGATGATTATGATGATGATGGTGCTGATGACGGTGATGGTGATGGTGATGGTGATGATGGTGGTGGTGATGATGATGATGCTGATGATGATAACGATGAGGCTGATGATGGTGATGATGATGATGATGACGGTGATGGTGATGACGATGAAGAAGATGACGCTGATGAGGATGATGAGGATGATGAGGATGATGCTGATACTGATGATGAGAATGCTGACGTTGATGATGATGCTGATGATGATGATGATGATGATATTGATGGTGATGATGATGATGATGATGATGATGATGATGATGATGATGATGATGATGGTGGTGGTGGTGGTAATGATAATGATAATGATACTGATAAGGATGATGATGATGATGATGATGATGATGATGATGATGATGATGATGATGATGATGATGATGATGGGGGGAGGGGGGGGGATGATGATGATGAATATGAGATTATGGATGATGAATGATGATGATGATGATGATGATGATGGCTGTTGATGTGATGATTAGGAGGAGAGGAGAGGAGGAGGAGGAGGAGGAGGAGGAGGAGGAGGATGGGGAAACGGAGAAGGAGGAAGAGGAGGTGGAGGAGGAGGAGGGCGAAGCGGAGGAGGATAAGGAGGAGGAGGAAGAGCTGGAGGAGGAGGAGGAACAGGAGCAAGAGCAGGAGCAAGAGCAGGAGGAGGAGGAGGAGGAGGAGGAGGAGGAGGAGGAGGAGGAAGAATCGGAGGAGGAGGCCGAGGCGGCAGAGGAGGCAGAGGCGGCAGAGGGGGAGGAGGAGGAAGAGGAGCTGGAGGTAGTAGTAGGACGCACCCCAGAGACGCATCCCTAGCCAGATCGTGGGAAAATATGAATCGACACTGCAGGGCAGCGGGGTAGCACTTGGATGTATCGTGGGCGACGCGGTCAACTGGATTTAGCAGAAGAATGGCTCCTCACCTGCTGGGGGGTGACACGTACGGAGGTCCCCTCCCGAGGACCAGGGACACGGAAAGGCGAATCCGCCGGGCCAGGCAGTGGCCAAACCGGGCGGTACGCACCGCATTGTGCTGAGCCACCTGAACACGCGTGCGCTCAATCCTTCATGCGCTTGATGTGGCCCTGGAGGTTGCGCTCACGCTTGTTCGCGGGGGCCTGCCCGAGAATTTCCTCGCCGCTGGCGCCCTCCCAAATCTGGGTCACGATGCCCACCGCCTCCTTGAGCTGAGCTGACCGTCCTGCCCACCGCCTTGCAGATGTTGAAAACGAATGTGCGCGGCGCCAAGGCGAGAGCCACATTTTGAAAACGACCCGCCCTCAATCCTTGAACCTCTTGCACATGTTGAAAACGAATGTGCGCGGCGCTAAGGCGAGAGCCACATTTTGAAAACGACCCGCCCTCAATCCGTGAAGCTCTTGCAAATGTTTGAAAACGAATGTGCGCGGCGCTAAGGCGAGAGCCACATTTTGAAAACGACCCGCCCTCAATCCGTGAAACTCTTGCACATGTTTGAAACGAGTGTGCGCGGCGCTAAGGCGAGAGCCACATTTTGAAATCCGCCTGCCCTCCATGCGTGAAGCTGTTTTCAGGTTGAAAGTTTCAAGACCAGAAATGGCGAGGAAGTCTTAGGCGAAACGCGCGGCCCGCCCTAAAAACTTGCCTCGGGGTGCGACACGGTCAAGGTATTTACAAGGAAAAGGAATCGAGGAGGAGGAGGAGGAGGAGAAGGAGGAGGAACAAGAGAAGGAGGAGGAAGAGGAGGAGGAGGAGGAGGGAGGAGGGGGAGGAGGAGGAGGAGGAGGAGGAGGAGGAGGAGGAGGAGGAGAAGGAAGAGGAGGAGGAGGATAGGAAGAGGAGGAGGAGGGCGAGGAAGGAGGAGTGGGAGGGAGAAGGAGGAAGAGGAGGAAGAGGAGGAGGAGGAGCAGGAGGAGGAGGAAAAGCAGGAGGAGGAGGAAGGAGGAGGAAGGATGAGGGGGAGGGAGACGGAAAGGGAGGAGGAGGAGGAGGAGGAGGAGGAGGAGGAGGAGGAGGAGGAGGAGGAGAAGGATTCCGAGACGATGCGCATCCTCACTGGGTGGAAGGTCCCCGGTTGGATGGCCTAGGCCGGGCATCCACCTCTGAAGGCCGAGCGGCTCGCAGCGAACGTCAGGGCGCTCCTGCTTCGGGCGCGGTGCACCCGCGGGGGGCGCTGCTTCGAATGTCACGGAGCAGGTGCGGCGCACCACCTCCGTGGCATCTGCACGGGCCCTGACGTCCGTGGCCCGCCGTCGCCCGCCGCTTCTGCCGTGCTCCTGCTTCTGGCCGGGGCCGTTCGGCGGGTGCCGACGCCGCCGCGTGCGCCACCGCGAAGCCTGGCAAGCGCCGTGCTCCTGCTCACGGCAGGGGTAGCGCGTTGGCAGCATGCGCTGCCGTGCGCGTCTCGGCGCCGTCGAGAGAGCGGGAGGGAGGACAGGACGGGAGCTGTTGCCGCGATCCAGCCCGTGGCAGGGGCAGCTCGGCGGCGGCAGGCGCCACCGTTCGCGTCTCGGCGCAGCCCAAAAGTGGCGAGAGAGGGACATGACGTGAGCTGCTGCCGCTCCCCTGCTCATGGCAGGGGCAACTCGGAAGCGGCTTACGCCGCTGTGTTCGCCTCGGCGCAACCTTGAAGCACGGGCGGGGAAGGGATTGGCGATGCTGCCGTACTCGTGCTCATTGCAGGGGCAGTTCGATGTCGGCTCACACCGCCGCGTGCGCCTCGTCGTCACCTAGAACGCGCGGGGCGTGAGATGAGTGTGCAGGACAGCCTGTCCTGCCGCCAGGCTGACCTTGAGGCAACTGCTTCGCACCTGGGGCATGGAGGTCATCTTATAACCTACAGGAGGATGGTAGCTAAGGGGGAGGGGGGGAGAGGAGGAGCAGGATCAGGAGCAAGGGACCGAACAGACGACGGGGCAAGAAGGGCCGTCGGGGATGCCTAGCAGGAGCAGGGAACAGCACACAAACTGGGGATCGTCCAGGGCAACGCCAGGAGGAGGGGGAAGAGGGGGAGGGGAGGAGCAGGAACAGGAGGAGGGAACAGCACAGACGAGGGGGCAAGAAGGGCGGGCGGGGAAACCAAGCAAAACAGGGGCACAACGGCGCAACAAAAAGGGGCAAAGAGCGAGAGGCAAGGGATGCGAGATGCTGCCAGGCTCCTGCTCGCGGCAAGGGCTGCTCGTGGCGGGTCCGTGCCGCCGCGCGCGCTCTGCGGCGCGTCCCGGACGGCGCAGCAAAGGGAGACAGACGCGAGAAGGACGAGCTGCGAGATGCTGCCAGGCTCCTGCCCGCGACAGGGGGCAGCTCGTTGGCGGTCTATGCCGCCGCGCGCGCCTCGGCGCGACATAAAATCGGCGCAACAATGGGGGGAACGAGCGAGAAGGGTGGGATGCGAGGTGCTGCGGGGGGCCTGCCCGCGCCAGGTGCAGCTCGTTGGCGGGCCTGCGCCGCCGTGCGCGCCTCGGCGCAGGGAGCGCGCCTCGACTGTGCCGACGCGCGCGTCTCGGCGCGACGTAGAACGGCAACGGTGCGGGGCAGGAGCGAGAGGGAAGGGATGCGAGGTGCTGCCGGGGCCCTGCTCGCGGGAGGGGCAGCTCGCTGGGGGGTCCGTGCCGCCGTGCGCGCCCCGGCGCGACATGGACAACGCAGCACTGGGAGAACGACGCGAGAAGGAGAAGAATGGGACGTGAGGTGGTGCCAGGCTCCTGCCCGCGACTGGGGGCAGCTCGTTGGCGGTCTGTGCCGCCGCGCGCGCCTCGGCGCGACACAGAAGCGTAACAATGGGGGGAAGGAAAGAGAGGGATGGAATGCGAGGTGCTGCCGGGCTCCTGCTCGCGGCAGGGGCAGCTCGTTGGCGGTTTGTGCCGCCGCGCGCGCCTCGGCGCGACATCGAAGCGCAGCGGGGGGAGCAAGCAGCGAGAGGGATGGAATGCGAGGGGCTGCCGGGCTCCTGCTCGCGCCATGGGGCAGCTCGTTGGCGGTTTGTTCCGCCGTGCGCGCCACGGCGCCACATAGATAGCGCGGCAATGGGAGCAATGCGCGAGAGGGCTGGGGCGCGTGATGCTGCCGGGTTCCTGCGC